CCCCCGATCATGGAGGCCATCAGCTGAAGTGATCTTCCCCCCATGCCGCAGAGGCCTTCAGCCGAAACGGCCCCTCCCTCTCTGGGTTCATACCCCAGAGACCCAACCAACCAAATTCCTTCGACAACTTGCCTGACAGGATAACCTCCCATCAGCAGCAACAAATCCCAGTTTGAATGGTCGAGGCTCCCGCCACGACGAAACCCCGTTAGCGTTAGCAAAATTTCCGTTCTTATATTACGACCGTTTACCATTTCCAGCAATGCGTCTTGTGCGCAGGAATGGTTTCACCTAGGTAGGGACGATGCTTGCGCTTGCGCAGGCCTCTGCCCTCAGTTAGCTTCTTTGGTTGGTTGGGTTCTACATTTACACATTCTTTTTAGTTAAAAATAATACAAAGAAAATTACTCAAAGATATAATTTGGTTACATTCCATCCTAACTGTAAAAAGCATAAATTAATATTAAATATTTTCTCTATAAGAATGAAATAAATTTAAAAGTAATGGAAAGAGGCATGAAGAAAGTTTTACAATTCCATTTGCCCTTATTTAAAAATAACGTCCGGTTTTAATCTACTTGCCCGGGCGCTGTTGAGTCCATCCCTGGGTGAGAGAAAAATGTTTTTTGTTGTTCGGATAGTAAGCACTAGGGAAGAATGGGGCTAAGGCAAATTTCGTTTGTCCCTGGGAAAGGATCTGATTAACTAAGGTCACAAACCCGAAAACTGTCCTGAGTTCCAGAAGATGAATTTGTAAGAAACTGTCGTATTTCCTCTTAGTAAATACCGCAGAGTCTACTGGTCATATGTAAACTCGAAATTGAGGGTTCGCATGTTTCTTTACTCGTTCGCTTGTGACTCGTGAAGAAGAAACCTGGTGTAATTATTCCTTAATACAAATGAGAGAACACTGGAAGGTCAGAACTCTGGGAAGTGTCCTGAGTTCGATTTCCGGCAAGGGCGTTCCGTCAACTCCGAAACTAAACAAGATACAACAACGGCGCCAGGATCAGAGTTTTATTTTAGTTGGAAGAGGAGATTGCAGAAACAAATACCTCAACACTGATAAATTGTCCTGGATTCGAGTCTTGGCAAGTACGGTTTCTGTTGATAGGATCGTAACTTGCGATAAAAGAACGAAGCCAAAGCAAAATACGTTCGTTTCGGAGAGGAAATTACAGGGCCTAAGGTCAGAGACCCGAAAACTGTCCTTGGTTCGAGTCTTTCTTAAGATGTTGCTTATTGGGGTAAATTTTACTGGCATATTAAAGAATATACATTTAATGATTAGGCCTATAAGCTTTACTGAAATTAACATTGATAAGGAATGTAAGCAGTTGTCTGCCCTGATGATAAAGGCAGCAAACACCAAGGTACACCCTAGAAGACAGCCATCTTCATACTTGTTGCTATTAGAATCTGACAATGTGATGGATGCTTTTTGTATTAGGTGGTACATGATGCTTCCCATTACCCACAATCCTCTGCACATGTCCATAATACTCCTGATAATGCAATCTGCCATGGCGACATCACAATGCTATCTGTGTGCTTTGAGGAACTTGAGAATGGCTGAATAGGTTTTCATTAAATTTGGCATGGAGGTTATGCCATAGGAGACTACTCCAAACCCATACTACACTCAATAACACCAGCATAATGGATGCTGAAAGTTGTAAGATGGGAGGATGATCCTCGCCTACTTTTGATAATGTCATCTCCAGTGGTGCCATCTTTCAGTGATAATACACTGTTTTTACTGTAATGTGTCAGTTGCTTTCCACACAACATTTATAGGTAATGAATTATACTCCCAAAGCATTGCCAGGAAAAGTGCTGTGTGTCGAATAAAGTAAATTATTGAGCACCTTAAAGAATGAATTATCAAATCTCCATGGATACATATGCATTAGTCTCTTAATGTAACACTTATACAAATTAATATGATAAATATGTGAGTACACGAAGATTGGCGACAGCAAAGCAGAGATTGCTTCTTTAGAAATTACTATTTTTATGGCAGTTAGCATTAGTTTTGTATGTATAATATATGAAAATAAGAAGTAATAATGGAATTGAAATTAAAAGAACTCTTGGAGAATATGTTCTCACAAATTGGAGCACACTTTTACATTATTTTTTATTTTAAGTTTGAACACTTTTGTTAAAAATATATCACACCCAGTCACACATCTTGGTTTATATCACGTACACTGTTGACATGCTCTGTCAGTAGATTTGGAACTTGAACTGTCAAAGTACAGATAAATTTACATATAAACTCACTACCATCTCTTAGATAATATTCCAGGCTGACATCATTCAGAAACAAAGTCTGCAATACTTAACACTGTAAGAGATTCTTATTTACTTGACTGCGTGCCATTCGGCACTGTGATGGTCACCCTGTTGTTTGTTACCAGTGACTTTGCTTCCTTATCTGCGGCATTAATTGATGCCGGAATTTGAGTTTTATTATCTACTGACACAACTGAACTCTTACTCATAGATTTCGTATTATTTTCAATATGTATTTTGTTTGCACCATTTGTGACTTGGGGTCTGCTAGAGTAGCCATGTGATGGCCTGGAATTGGTTATATTCTTTCCAGAATGGTGGGAATTCACAGAAATTGTTATGGTTCCTTTTGCAGAGGCAGTTTCTGTAGAAATTCCATTTTGAAGAGAATCCTGTAAAAAAAATTAATTAACTCAGTAATTTCCATCAGTGGTTAACGTGCTCGCTGCTGGACCCAAGGTTAGTGGGTTGAAATCCAGCCGAGGTCGATTAATTTTTAAGGGTGATAAAAATCTGTAGCACAACATCCTTTGGAGGGGAAGTAAAGTCGGAGGTCCCATTTCGTAGATTTACAGCACGTAAAAAAACCTTACAAGCATAAAATGAGCTGTTTTGTAAGCAAAATTCAGCAGCCATTTCTCACCCAAGTCTCCTAATTCTCTGCTAGATGACTCTAGCAAAGAAAATCAGGATTGAGTAGAAATTGTGCAGAGGCAGTGGGCTGGTCACTCACTACTCACAAATGCACACTTGAAACACTAGGAAACCTCTGAAAAGGATGTGGCAAAGACCCACAACTGGATTGTAGAGCCAAGGAAGAATTAATTAGAATAATTAACTCAGTGGAGCAGAATCCTTCACACAGTCTCTCAACTGGTCAAGAAATTCTTCGTCTTTTATGGAACCTAAAGACTCATTGACGTGTTCACAAACACCCAGAAATATCTCCTATCTCAGTCAGACGAATCCAGTCCACATCTTCACGCACTATTTTCTTCAATATCTTAAGTCTCTGAAGCATCTACACTACATCTCCCAACTCATTCTTCTTGATATGACCACCCTTATATTTAATACATACAAATTACGAAGTTCCTCAATATGTGGCTTTATCTATCCTCACATTATTTCCTCTCTCTTAAGTCACATTCTCCACATAACTCTATTCTCAAGCACGCTGCTTAATTTTATTACATTTCATTAGGTTCTTTAGAAGAAACATTATTTGCCTCTGACGTGAATCAAACCGCAATCCATAGTAAGACTCTACACTGATGCAATTACCCTGGCTTGCTATTTTTATAGTGATCAATTAACTTATAAGGATAATTAATATCATATGAGATTCTGTGATTGAATTATGAATTGGGAGAAAGAAGAAATAAAAAAGTCACGGGCTATATCGAGGCACTCTTTTTTTGGCATCCACCTGAAAGGGTAGTGTCGACAGCCACGTACGATAATAAAGTAAAGACAGCGGGTGTTTATCTTAGGATAATAACTACCTGTGAATCAGTCCGCTTCTGTAGATTTGATCTTGACAATGTCTGAGCTAGCTCCGAATGCAGTTGGCTAGTGATACTGGAGCCATCAACTTGCGATGTTGATTTCCTAACTTCTGTGGCATACGTTGGAAGGAAGTCAAAACGTGTTGGAACCCTCCTTTCAACTCCTGATGGATATTCACTTATTGTTATGGAGACTGGCCTCTGCTTACCAGCCAGTCTGTCATCTTTCCATGTCGACTGGTTGGTATCACTGAACACATTAAAAGTCAGTCAATGAATAATTTACATTGTCAAAATTACATGGAAATCTACATCAAAGTATATGAGGATTATTTATTTATTTATATATATATATATATGAATGTAAACAAAAAAGTTTTCATCTTTTCTCCTATGTGGTTGCTGAAACTTCTTTCATTTCTTCTCCTTGTCATGTAAATCCTAAAACTTTTATCATTACGACTTTACAGTCGTGTGCTCACCGCTGACTGGATAGCACCCCCACTCATCTGCTTATATAATCACGTCCTTCTTACCATCTACTGTTTGATCTATATAAGAGCTTACAGAACCCCACAAACTTTATTCACCCTGAAAGTGACAATAATGGAAAATTTGCAAAAATTCAACATGGTTTATACCTGAAAGCCAAGGTTATATATATTAAAATTCCATATAACTAAATAAATATGCTTTATATGTATCATATTATGGACATTAAGAAAAGAACAAATAAGAAGAATGGTGATGGCCAAAAGCCCATACAGACATCTAAACAAAACACATCTTCATCAAAATACGTTGTAAAGCCACATAAAATCCTGACGAATCATCTGTACCATTCTTAAAAATTAATTTTATTACTGCATGATTATAGGCAGTGCCATAGATGAAATGGCTAGATGTCAGGTTCTCATGGAAAACCCAGGTTCAATCCCAGATGACCGAGTAAGATTCGTGATGGAAAAAAATGGCACTGGAGCAAGTTTCTCTCCGAGTTCTTTGGTTATCCTACTAACTGTTATTCCACTATTGCTCCACACTCATTTGTCACCACCCCACCAGCACAATATTACATATAACCATGGTATTCTATTAAGGGGCTTCATCTCGGGACTTGGTAGTGAGCTGGTCTTAGAGAGAATATATAGTACGCGACTGTAATCTTGAGACTTGCGAGGAATGTAGAAGTTCAAAGTGTTAAAGGCTGAAACTATCTTTCCTCTTTCCTCCTTCACCCCACTTCCTCACCCCGCAAGTCTCAAGATTACAGTCTTATACTGTAGATGGTGACACCATGAACATACACGACTGACAGAGCATTATACTAATGAAGTGATCAGTTATTATACTGACAGAACTACTATCTTTTCTTTTGTCATGGTGTTCTATTTAGCATTCATTTAGCCACAAAAATATACAATAAGTTGAAGAATAAAAACAGAAAGAAGATAAAGAAGACTAATTTTCTCATATAATCTCCATAGATTTCACTGAGTGAGGCAAACTCAACATATAATAGACATTAATGAACTGAATACCCCCACTTAATGGTACCTGCAACTTGTCATGGTGGTGGGGCTTCAGTACCTCAGTGACCCCAAGAGCTACTGGTAGGGCCTCCCTAGCCAGATTGGTCGAGGGGGAGAGGTCAGACTAAGACTGGTACCCTGGTCCTCCAGGTTGGGGGTTGGTCGCAAGGCTAACAACCTTGCACCGTAAAAAGGAAGATGTTTTGAAACCTCGATCAGAGCCTCGAACAGACGGACCTAACAAAGGACCGAATGGAAGAGGAGAATTGAGGAGGCCATGGACCAAATACGGACCGGAGAGCCATAGAAGAAGAAGAATAAGAATAATGAATTGAATACATGGGTCTGAAACAGTTAACAGATAATTATTTTGTTTAAATAAATTACTTACCTCGAATGTTGAGGCTTCTTCTTGTTCCTTACTGGAACAAAATATATTTCAGGTGGCTTTGGTTTTGGGGAATGAGGATTCGTAAGTGTGAAAGACTCTATGGACTGCATTTCCACAGTGTCGGCATTTTTTGAAGTGGTTTGACTAGCAGTAACAGTACTTTTAGTGGAATTTGTTATAGTGAGCCTGCTCTGGGGGTTAAGCATTGGTTTGTTATTAGTATTTACATATGTGAATGAAGGTGAGGGGAGTTTTGCTTGAGAAGCAGAGTTTTTGCTTGAAGTAATAAGTGACTCGGCAGAAGATATAGATAGAGATGAACTTGTGTCATAGTCGGGTGTAGGACAGGATGGTGGCCTCTCATTCAGCAATATCTTGCCTGATGATGCCAGGGATAAAGCTGGTGAAGATGGTTTCCACGAAGAACTCAGACTTTCCGATTCATGTGATGGCATCTGAAACAAAGTGAGAAAAACGTCATTTAGTGAAATACCCAGGATCAAAGTATTAGAAGGTAGAAGATTTCTGTCTTCTGGGTTATAGCGCTGTGTAGTCTGGCCGATGTTTACCAACGTTTCAGAGGTCATACTGCCTCCATCATCAGGGCCCTGTTGACGGAGGTAATATGACCTCTGAAACGTTGGTTAATATCGACCAGACTACACAGCGCAACAACCCAGAAGACAGAAATCTTCATACTCACCACTGTAAAAACCTCAAATCTTACATATTAGAAGGTAATTAATTACAGGTAACTGGTTCTGGTGGATGTGTTTTAAAGAGCACATGACATTATACTCAGTGAACACTGAGATACAGGCCCATATCCTGGGTTTCTAATCACCAACAATCACCTTACTCTTGCCCTTATTCCTTTGCCACTGGCTGGTTCCCTGTGCAGACGTAACAGTTTAAAATCTTGTGAAGCAAATGAACAAACCCAGGATTACTACTATGAACGAGAATGACAGAGAATGATTTCAAGTTACAAATATTAAGTAGAGGAGGATATTTGGACATATGAAACAGATTGTAACAAAGAGGATGGGTAAAATTACTTATTGATGAGGTCTTTAAGCTGTTACATTCACTTAATGTTGATAAGGACAAATAGTATGAGCAGGGCAATGCTAAAGTAATACACAATTTACATTAGAAAACCACAAGGGAGAGACAACTTGGGAGACCGAGGCACAGATGGGAGGATAATATTAACATTGATGCTTTAGATATGGTGTGAGGGTGTAGAGAGAATTCAATAGGATGAGAATAAGGTTCAGTGGTGGTTTCTTGTAATTAACAAGGTCACTGACTTCTGGGTCCATAAAAGTACAAAATTTCTAAAGACGACAAGAAACTATAAACTTCTGAAGTAAAATCCTGCAACATGGAGATGGTGATTTTGTATATTATTACACAATATGTTCTGCTTCCATTAATTTTGCATCAAGTCTTGGTTAAATAAAGTTATCTTTTTCAAACAGAACTCTATTATGTAGGGTGTAATTTACCACTCACTGAGGATTCAAAGGGGAGTTTCATAACTGCACTGTGAACCAAGTTGCAACAGATAAGAAGAACAAAGGATTCCTAGAAAGTGATGTCACATATCTGTACTTTAAAAACATGTACAGCCTTCAACAAGAGTTTGTGCCGATTAACTTACTGGAGGGGGAGGAGGTGGTACATCTCTACTATTTGAGATTATGGTCACTTCTCGCACATCACTTTTGCCCTGCTGGTCTTGTAAATTGTGGTCCTTTGTTGTTACTAACGTTCTTTGAAGAGACACCTTTTCTCCTTTGTCATCCTTCTGTGTTTGTTTTCTTTGGTGTAATTCACGCTCCTATAAAGAAACATTTTTTACAGTTATACACTTGGATTACATTTCATGTCCATACATAACATCTGGCAAGATTATTATCTCATATATCTTGATCTTTAGTATTTTGGATTGTAGATGTGAAGATGAACAGTTTGGAGCTGACTAACAATCATATTCCAAATTTATTCTTCCCTTAATTCCATCATGAACATCATTCACACAGGCTATCCAAGAAATCCATTTATTACAAGTCCTCTTCCTAGTGTCTCCTTGATCGTGGAAACTTGTCTTTATCCATTCTATCCATCTTTCAATCTAATTCTACATATATTCATTTCTTCAGCCATTTATCAACCTGAAGTTCCTTATGACAGCATTTATTTTATTGCCTAAACACACAAATAACTGAGGCCAGAACAGACACTAAATTGCCTACTGTCGTATATCACTACATAAAACTTATTCTAAGGATTTTTCTCTTTCCCACTGTGTCCATACCAACTGAAGTCTGCCCATCCTCCTTACACTGTGATTACTGGGAACATATTTTCCCAGGGAGTAAATAAGCCAGACCATGAAGCTGACATAATTTAAAGGTTAGGAATGTGCTTAGCCATATCTTCATGCACTTATATACCTTCATAAAGGCACAAGGGAAACTATACCTTTAATTTACCCAATTTAACACATTTTCTCAACTGCTGTCATTAGCCTTAAACCAAGGAACTGTATCTATAGGGACACTAAGAATAGGGAGAAGTGCGACACTGAGGTAAACAAGTTCAAGAGAAGAAACAAATAACAACTTACCTCGTAGCTTCGTATTATAACCTCAGGAGGTTTTATTCTCCTGGCAGTTGTGTTCATTGTGCCTGATTCTCTCACAAACCTCTACTCACTAGCTCAAGGGCACTGAAGTCTACTGTTTGCACTTCAAACAACTTGGGCACATAGATAACAATAAGTCATAACTTATGTTTATCACTAGAGTCACGCTAATGTGAACTTCATGCCAAGCAGACAGTCTGTAAACTGTTTCACTGCTACACACGTTCAAACAACTTGTGTCAACATACTGACTATGAAGTTTAAGTATCACTAGATAAGTATTCTTAATATTTCATATATGAGTGTACATGCTTCCGATTTAGTACAGTGGACATCACTCAAATGAAAAAATCTGTTTTCTGAGTGATTCTTCACAGTCAAGATAAAGACATTCTCTGAATATAGATAAGATTTAATCAGGAAAAAGACACTTATCTTGTAAGTTCAAGCTAAACAGACACGTGTAAAGTGTGTATGTACTTTGGAAAGTTGTCTGGTCAAGCACAGCACTGCAATGAACGTTAAAATGTCTACACACAACCAGGGACTGCAAGAAACAGTACCCAGAAATGCTTGTCGTGATGTAGCTAACAAACCACCTATCTAAGCAACCAACCAAGCTAATAGGCTAATTAGTTCACTGTATGTTTGCCTTTTATTTTTCAAACTTCTTCTTATCTAGGTTTAATTTTAAGAAACTCCATTGCAAACCCCAATTTGCAGTATACGTACAGATAAGCATTTCCTCCATCTGCCTACTATGATTGTGAGTTATAAATAAATTAAGATCTTTAGTGAATTATGAATGCTTGCCTCCAGGGTCCAGAATTAAATGAGGTATGTTAGAGATATTAGATTTATTTTGAAAGGTCTATTTGCTTAACAGAAAATATGTACTTGTACTTTGCACTGGGAGGTGTTAAAAGCACAGTAATTCTTAGTGACAATTAGCTAATGAAATTTAGCTGTTAATTTCTTTATCATGCTGCAAAACTATGCCACTTGCTATTTCTCACATGTTAGTTCACAGCAATGCAGATCTGCCATTCATATGATATCACCAGTATTGTCTTATCAGTGGATAAATATAGTGTGCCTAATTTTAATGAAATGGATTAAATATGACTGGATTCATATCAATGCCATAACTTTATAGTCTGTATGGATACTAATCTATTTACCATCAAGATCACAGAAAATCAAGTCTGGTTATCCCTACTTAAAAATTTATTTACTGCAAGTTAATGTTTTCACACTATGTATACATATCCAGTTCGGTACTTTTTATGTGTCTCTGCACAGTTTTCATGACGTGAATGCATTATGTGACAGGTTAAGTCTGTCCACATATTTTATCTCCAAAATTACTAAACGAGTTTAAGTAAAATTCGGTACTGGGCACCTATAATAAAAGTTATTAGGTGAATTGTTAACACAGCAAATATCAGGTTCTCAAGGAATCTAGTCAATGGAGTGGATGAGTTAGATCAGTCTAATATGACTCCCACATGAAGCTCATATCAAACTTTATTGCTGTTTGAAGAAAACAGCTCAGTATATAAAACTGGCATACAACATGAAATATAGGTCTTACTAAGTTCTACAACTTCTATTTGAAACACATTTTTTATACTGTGAATATTTAACAAAATATAATTTCCTTATTTGCAATAAATGAGCATCAAGGCCAGCAGAATACATTTGTAAATTATGTGTATTCAAATGGACTACAAATCACTTTCCACTATAATTTCTTCTACATATATTTTTCACATAAAGTATGCAAACAACTTTTAGTGATTTTACAGCATTTAACAACCTATGGAGGAGACAGTAAGAGGATAGATCAAGATGTTGAAAAGAAGACTCCGAGTGCTGGTACGAACAATAATTATCTAATCTCTGAAGGCAAGAAGTTATGTGGAGAAATTATGATGTTTCTAGCTCATGTAAAATATGTGCCAATTACGAACATACATTCCTATTTTAAATATATGATGTGCTCCTATTAATTTATTTCAGATGCTTCAGTCTACATGGTGAGAATTATTAATTAATGTTCATACAAATTAGAGCAACATTCCTGTATACAGATGCTACTACATTCAATTTGCCACATATAAGCTAAAATTGTTGCACCGTCACTATGCTTATAATTATTAATATGCAAAGAAATGTTTCACACAAAATTTTTGTGATTCATTTCCACTCTAAATTTCAGAAGGCCAGGTTGGAGTGTGTCACTACTAGCTCAGATGGTTATACAGTTGCCATGTCAGTATTTCAGCGGTAGGTAATCAAAAATTACAAAGTTACAGTGGCATGATATTTGCACAAATTTAATTAAATGATTCAACAGTTATTAGGAAAGACACACACACACACACATATATCTTTAGTTGTGAAACAAAGGAAGTGTGACTCACCTCCAAGGAATGAGATATCTTGAACTGTGTTGCTTCAGATTGACAGGAGGTGCTGCCCTGATTCTCTGCAGCAATGCTGTGAGCAAACATCTTCCGATGTACACGTCTGAACTCATCCATCAGCTAGAAATAAAGACAGATAAGAATCATAAAAAATCTTATCTGCTAAAATAGTCCATGTTTGTTTTCCTCCAATTATTCTCAGCGACTCAGATTAGGTCTCCGAAGCTCTCCAAACCCCAGACTTTTGCAACTGATCCATCCATCTCTTTAGAGACTACAAGTGTCTTTTATAAAATTTGAGGTTTTCACAGCGGTGAGTATGAAGATTTCTGTCTTCTGGGTTGCTGCGCTGTGTAGTCTGGTCGATGTTAACCAACGTTTCAGAACATCGCCCTGATGATGTAGGCAGTATGACCTCTGAAACGTTGGTTAACTAATCTATATATTGCAGCTGAATGATCCAAACACAAGAGAATGTAGAACTGTCTATGAAACTTGAAGTCCTGTTGACCTTAATATAATGAGCAGAGAGTCATCACCATAATTAAATATGTCTCTTCTTGATACCAAGGCAAACACATTTATCAAGAGATAGGTTTTGTTATTAGCTAAACCATTCTCACTGTTACTGTATTTGTATTTCCTCCACCACTTAATTACCCAATTCAATTTATCTTCTTCTTTTTCCAGTTTAACAATGTTTGTACATTTTCCGGTACCCTTTACGGGTCCCCAACTTTTTTTAGTTGGCATGATCTATGGACAGACGGTAGGACTCCTTGCACAAGGGATCAAACCGTCACAAGGCCTCTACTTATTTACAGGACAGTACAACACAGAAAAACATCCATGGCTTGAGTGGGATTCGAACCCAGGGTCCCTGCGACCAAGTAGCACAAGGCCCACGCCTCAGACCGCGCGGCCACTGCGGACCCCCCCTTTCAATTTATCGAGAGAAAATAAAGGATAAATTTTTGCTATGACACAATAATATCACTGTTGTTATGCGCTGTGTGGAATACATATGTAACAAATAATTTGTAGTAGATGACTGTGACATTAATATGGATAAATATTGTAATTATACAGCACATTTAAAACTAAATACTGTATCATAAAATATTATAAAACATCATTATTCCTAGACTTTACTCTTACATGACCACTTTCATGTTATAAGGTAGAAACTGTTGTGACTGACACTTGTTTTAATGTAAAAATTGTCCAAAAACTGGAAATATTACATAAATAAATACGTTATTGTTGTCACAATTAACTACAGATTCAATGCCAATAGACACTTTCATTCAAATCAGAATTCTACTGCCTGCAACTAATTAATCAACACAGCACATGTTACACTACTACTCTCTTATTAAAGCACAACTTGATTTTGGTTTAATTTTAATATCTCTGTTCTTTCATATCTAGATGGGAAATGTTGGAGTACCTCGAAACAAACTAAATAATGCGGGCAGTAATTTAAAAATTTATATAATCTTGATGCATAAGAATACATTACTGTTATGGCAGCAACTTTTATGAGATATATTAATGCGACAATAATCCTCAACACGTGAATTAATCAACAAAGTATAAAAATAAAAGCTAACAACCTGTTCATGCTGTTGTCGTTTCTCTCCATCAATTGCTTTGAGGAAATCTTTTTTTCTTTCTGTTTCCCTGTAGCCTTCATTCTCATGTCGCTAGAAAAACAAATGAACAGATATATACAATATAACCAAAATCAGGCACTTCACTTTTTTAATTTTAACATGTCTGGCTTGTGAATTAAAATTCCCTGAATTTAATGCCATAATTGAGATTTTTCTGCAAGGTTCTCCCAGATCCTCTAAGTAAATTCCCTGACAGCCATTTCATAAATGAAGCCATGACTTCAAGATTAAAAATCTCTCAATTTACCTCTCCATTTCACCATAGATGGCTGAAAGAAGATACCATGCTACTATTTTATGGCAGCCGTCAAATCTTGCCTGCCCTGGAAGGCTTAGTGGAGTTCACTTTCTTATATGCATGCAAGAGGTGTGTGGGAAAATGAGAAATATGTATGACAGTTTAGAGCAGTGAATGAGTATAAAAATGAGTACACTATGAAATGCTTTGCAAAAATAACGTATATTACAGAGCAGTGTCAGAAAAGACAAATGGAAAATCTGATTGTGTTTGTGACATCATTGGAAGTGAAAACCCACAACGTAACACATTCTATTATTATGATCAATGAGTTACATACTGAGAGGACTTTACAGAAAAGTTTGATTTTTTTTTCACCTTCGACCTCCTCTGCAGCTCCTGGCTGATGGCACTGGACAGACTACTGCTAGCAGTGCTGCTTCCGATGCTGATAAATGAGCTACTGGACGGACTCTTGGCCAGAGAGTTTTGATCCTTTGACCCCTGTACAAACAAAAATAAATAGAAAATCCTGTGATGTGATCACATTACTTAAGATTGCAATGTAATTAGGTTCCCTCTGAACTCTACATGTGTTTTTTTCATCTCTGATTCCACTATTTGCCCAATGGAGCAATTTGAAAGTGATAGTGGGTCAGAAAACCTTACAAGAATCATGCAGTCATAAAATGTTAAGAGCAATTAATTATTTAAAATTAATGAACATCCTTTTCATTTTATTTCTCTTCTTTTTCCGGTTTAACAATGTTTGTACATTTTCTGGTACCCTTTATGGGTCCCAAACTTTTCAGTTGGCTTGATCTATAGACATTCGGTAGGACTCCTTGGATGAGGGATCGGCCCGTCGCAAGGCCTCTACCAGTACACAGGACAACACAACACAGAAAAACATCTATGGCTTGAGTGGGATTCGAACCCACAGTCCCTGCGACCAAGCGGCACAAGGCCCACGCCTCAGACCGCGCGGAAACTGCATACCCCCCTTTTCATTTTATAAAGGATATAATAACAAGGACAAGGTAGAAATACCTAGTAAGAGTCATCATACAAAACAGAAAAGAGGAATAGTGGACGTAGACATTAAGAGGAGTACTTGTGGAAGGACAGAAAGAAGGGAGAAACCTTCATCATAGAATGACTCAGCCTGTAGGAAACGTCAATTTTGAGGATCTGTGTCTTGAGAGTCAAGAAATTGATATCCATGTTTATACTTCATTTTGCATACATATATACACAGTTCACATGCCACACCCATAATATCAATAACATCACTTCTTGACATTATCATACCCTAACAGATAAAGTAAACACTGAACTGTGATTACTGCCGCATGACAACCGTGATTTACTTTATCTCTCACCTCATCAGCTGTTAATCTTTCTGAGACAAGAGTGGTTTTAGGTATGGCCACAGAATCATCTACTTCCTGACTCCTGTGGACTTCCACCACGACTGTCTTTGTCTCTGATTGCTGTGACACCATGCGGATTTCAGCAAGTTTAGCTCCATCTGCAAACTTCTGTTCTGAATGTTGTCTATCCGCACCAGCAACACTATTGCGCCCACTGCTCACCAGACTTAGTTCCTGGAGAATGTAGAATATTCTTCATTGCCACAATTATATTAGTTTTGTTCATAGATTGTTACCATTCAGTTCAGAATTTTTGAACTTTAATGTCTCATACATAAAAGCCAGGAATGCTAAAACGTACAAAACTATAATTTTGCATGTAGATTTGGGTGTGAAATTCTGTCTCTTACTCTGAGGGAAACAGAACGAGCATGAATGTGAACAGAGAGCTGAAGATAATATTTGGTTCTAAGAAAAAGGAAGAAAGAAGAAGATGGTAGCATTTACATAGTGAAGAGCTTCACAAATATTTTATACCAGCCTACTATTTACAATTTTCATGATAGTACCAGACTATTTGACATCTACCGACTATTCATAGTTTCTGTGCTAGAATCTGGCTACAACATGAGCATTAAATCACAATTTAAACCCTGGTGATAAACTGAATATTTAAGGTACATTACAGCTACTCACACTCATATCTCTGTTAGTTTCATCAACGATGCGACTGTTTCCATTCTCCTCAAAGTGAACTCGCAGGACAGGTGAGTTTTTTTTCTGTTTTGGTTCGGTTTTCTCCCAGCCATACTCAATCTGGTCCCAATCTTTGATGTGATGATTACAATCTAACTGTCCCAGTCTGTAGAGATTTAACACCAGTACAAAATAAACTCAGAGATGACTATACACACGTCACGTAAACCAGTGGTATTTAACCTTTTTTGTTCGTGTACCCCTATATATAATTTCTTTTCAACTTTGTACCCCTAAAGTTGTTGGTGTATAATTCAAGTTGTACATAGTATATAATCTACATCTAAAATAAATTATATTACTGATTATTCAGTGTTTATCATAAAATATATATTTTTTTTAAATTTCACATACCCCCTAAGATGTCTTCACATACCCCAGGTTGAATACCACTGACGTAAACAATGAAAGGGTTACAGGAGTACCAACTACAGGTTGATCATATTGTCTCCTGTGAGTTTCTTGTATGATAAAAATTGTTTTCTCATCTCATTCATTGATACTGTTACACTTCCAATGCTACATATAAAAATTTCTCATAAATATTAACAATTCCTTCTCTTAACATAGTTCATGTTTCACAATATCAAAAAAAAAAAAAACTATGTTGTCTTGTCAGTAGAAGCTAACTATTACTGACTTTCCAACAATGGAAATTATACCATGGAACTATGCTAATAAAAGAAAGCATTTTTTTTTAAATTTACTTGGTACGATCTTACTTTGATCTAGATGAGGTTAGAAGATGAATCATGTAATGTCAGAACATTTCAAGACAATGTATTGGTTTCGCATGGAGGGACTGAGGAAAGCACAGAATACCTCAGTCAGGATACTCAATGCCCCGACAGGTTGGCCACCTTCCAAATAGCCACCAGATGAGTGAAACTGAGGCCTTCTCATACTATTTCTCACCTGTCTTCCAGTTCAACAGACTCCTCCTTGACAATGGACAGCCTCTTGGTATCACCCCAACTTGGACTCTGGTCTCCATTCACACTGCTAGATGAGCTGTTGTACCCAGAAGACTCCCCTGGAAATAAATCTGAACCAGATCCCTTCCTGATTATCAGGTCCAGTTGTCGTGATGTCTTCAGTACATTCACAGCCTGAAAAATGTACACAGAATAACATCAACTTGGATACTTTAAACAGAACTACAAAAGCGAAATGTTCTGTTTTCACTTTAATACATTATGTTGGTAAAATGTAATTCTGAAGGATGACATTGTTTAAACAGAATGCTAAAACAGAGATCGACAACATTACCATCTGTGATGATTACAGGTAATTATTTTTATTCCACAAATAAATGGGACCGGAGAATGTCACAAAAAATCTGTACTTTCAAAATGAATTAGCTACTGATTACCAGAATGAAAGAATATAATTTATAGATATATTAAAAGTTGCAAAAATAACACTGTTTACATTTAATTTGGGCAAAACATTGGTATTCTCAAGATTAATACCCATTAAATTTAATATGGAGGGAACCACTCAACTTTCTCATACCAAGTTGCTGATGAAGTGAATGAAAATATATATATTAACAAAAATGTACATTAGGGAAACCAAAGTTGCATTTTCATCAGAATAAATTTTATTTACTTATTTCAGTTTTTTATCCATAAATGATACTGAATTTCTGCTGACTTGTGCTCTACAAGAATGAACAGATGGTCACTTGCACCATATTGTTAAGATACAAGACTGTCTTACTCACTTCACTAAATGGAATGTCAATGAAAGGCACACCATTGCATTGCAAGATCTGGTCACCTGGTTGTAAACCTGCCTCTCGTGCAAGACCATTCTCTTTTGTGAACTGAACAAAGATTCCTGGTTTCCATTCTGGGCCTTTGCAGATCCTAAAATTGGACACAGAAACAAAATAAAACCATATTACCATTAGCTCCACGATTTGTACTATTCACCAAATATTACTAGGATGAGAAAATCAAGAATATGATACAGGAGGGGCATGAGAAATGCATGAAAGACTTCGGTTGGAAAGCCTAAAGGGAAGAGACCATTTGGAACATCTAGGCATAGATGGGAAGATAATATTAAAATGAATCTTAGGGTAACTGTGTTGGAGAGTATGGAATGGATTCATCTGGCTCAGAATAGGGACTGGTGACAGGCTCTTAGAAACATGGTAATAAACCTTCAGCTTTGATAACAGGCAAGGAATCCCAGATCTCATGTTTGTGTGAGGAATAATCTCATTCTCTCCTCCCCCAAGAGTATGTACTCACCCACACTCCAGTTTCATGCGAGGTGCCACATTCAAGAACAGTCTCACATCTCTAATGATGTCCTCACTGTTCCCATTATATATGGTTCTGGAGAGCTCTGGTGATGAGCGCACCCTGTCTTCTTCCACAACACGCCATGTCAGTGGGTCCGTGCGCTTACTGGAACAAAGCAGTGAGATATGACGTTTCCACAGCAGTGAGGATGATAATGGTGTCCTTCTGGGATTTTGCATCATGTAGACTTATTGGTTGATGCCAACATGATGATGCTACATCAGTCCTGAAGATGGATATAGTATGTTTATCAGAAATGATGGCATCTAATGACAAGTCTACATGACACAAAATCCCAGAAGGATCTTTTTGATAAGTTATTAGTTACTCGGCCAGTCCACAAATTCCTTGCTTTTTTTGAAACCAAAAGGTTCACAACAGCCTGCCATTTGACACACTATCCTCAGTCACATAAATGCAGTCCATACCCTTCCCAGAAGATCCATTTAAATATCACTCTGCTGTCTATGTCTTTCAAGTGGTCTTTTCCTTCCAGATTGTTTGGCCAAAATTTACTGTTCATTTCCCTGATAATGAAGGCAGCAAGCACCTCTGAAATATCAGTAAACTTCTACCATAGTACACTGCCCAACAACCAAGAAGACAGCCAACTTCATACTTGCTGCTATGAGAACCTGAAAACTCACACTTTAACTTTTCTGCCATGCATGCTAACATGCCTTGATCATCTCAGATTCCTTGATTTGATAATTCTAATAATAGTTCAAGAGTACAAATATGAATTCAAGGTTAATACCATTTACCCTCTACACAATATTATATGAAAATCTATCTTATAAGTACATGTTCCAACAAATTCAGGGGTCCGCAGTGGCCACGCAGTCTGAGGCGTGGGCCTTGTTCAGCATGGTCGCTGGGACCGTGGGTTCGAATCCCACTCAAGCCATGGATGTTTGTCCGCGTTTTTCTGTGTCGTGCTCTCCTGTGTACAGGTAGAGGCCTTGCAATGGGCCAACCCCTTGTCCAAGGAGTCCTACCGAATGTCTATAGATTGAGCCAACAAAAAGTTGGGACCCGCAGTGCTCTGGCACTTGAAGAACGGGTCGTTCCCAGTATCCCAGTATTCTGTATAATTATCAGGTCATAATATTTGTATTCTGGAGTTGCTAAGTGCATTAGCTTTCATGGTCATGTTCATTACAGATATTGTTTCATAATAAAATTTTGCTCCAATATAAGACAAGTTCTAAATCTTTTCATTACAAAACTTTCTGAATCTTCATTTTACTCTCTCTTAAGTACAAATATTCTCATCAGTCACCGGTTTCAAACACCCTCAGTGTAACATTCTTCCTTAGGAAGAAAGAAATGTCAACATCATACCTCCTTCTATAGCTGA